TGTTGTTTTAGGGTGAAATACTCGGTAGATGTCAGTTAATTCCGCTTGAAGTATGGCCTCACTTAATTCGGTAGCTTCTTTGCCAATCCTCTGGTTGGTAGACCTGTCCTTTGGTGAGAGTGGCGTGTTAAAGTCTCCTAGTATTATTGTATTGGGATCTATTTTATTCTGTAAGTTTGAGAGCATTTGTTTAACATATCTGGGTGCACCAATATTTGGGGCATATAAGTTGATGATGGTTATATCCTCCTCTTGGATTGTTCCTTTTATTAATATGTAGTGTCCGTCCTTGTCTTTCTGTACTGATTTTAATGAAAAGTTTATTTTGTCAGATATCAGGATAGCTACACCTGCTTTCTTATTGGGGGAATTTGATTGGTAGATCCTTTTCCACCCCTTCACTCTGAGTTTGTTTGTATGTTTGGCTGAGAGGTGGGTCTCCTGAAGGCAACAGATGGATGGGTCTTGTTTTCTGATCCAGTCCTCAGTTCGTTTTCTTTTAATTGGTGAATTCAGCCCATTTATATTAAGAGAAAGTATAGAGAGATGCATTGTTGTCCCTGCCATTCCGTTTTCCTAAGTTTTTCTTCTTTCCTTTCCTCCTGTGCTTGCTCAGTTAGACTTTGAGTAATGCCTGTTTGGGGCAGGTCCCAGTTCCTGGTTGCTTTCTTCAGGTTGTGTCCCCCCTCTTAGAATTCTTTGTAATGCCGGCTTAATGTTTATGTATTCATTTAGTTTTTCTTTGCTATTAAAAGTTTTCAGTTCTCCATCGAATGTGAATGCTAGCTTTGCCGGGTATATCAGTCTGGGTTGGCAGTTATTGGCTCTCAGGGCTCGTATGGTGCTTTCCCAGGCTTTTCTTGCATTCATTGTTTGTGTGGAGAGATCTGCAGTGATTCTAATTTTTTTCCCGTTGTAGTATAGTTCCTTCTTCATTTTTGCTGCATGCAGGATTGTTTCCTTATTATTCAGATCCATCATTTTTACTATAATGTGCCTAGAAGTGTTTCTCCTGGGATCTTGCTTGTTGGGTGTTCGATAAGCTTTTGTGATGTAGTTAAGATGGTCGTTTTTGAGGTGGGGAAAATTTTCATTGACTATCTTGTTAAATAGGTGTTGCATTCCCTTGCTCTGGAATTCCTCACCTTCGTCCACTCCGATTATGCGAAGGTTAAATTTTTTAGCATTATCTGCTTGCTCTTGAATTTCCCTTTGGTTTAATTTGAGTGATTTTTCCATATCTGTCACTTTTTGGTCCAGTTGGTGTATTCTGTCTTCTGTATCTGACACTCTACCTTCCATTTCATTCACTCTGTTGACCGTGGCTTCTATTGTGGTTTGCATGGTGGAAATGGATCCCTTTATGGATTCAATGTTGGTTCTCAGAGTACTGATGAGGTGAGATCAGTATGCATTACCTCTAATTTGGCGTTTATCTCACTTTTTACTGAGGTTTGTGCAGCTTCTATTTTTGCATCCAACTTTTGTTTGATATCCTGTATCTCTTTTGATAGTTCATCCTTGTGCTCTTTCAATTTCTGATCCATTTCTCGCTTTATTTCTTGAGTCATTGCCTCCAGCAACCCTTGGATGTAGCTTTTGTCTTCCATTCCTGCTTTGCTCCCACTGGGGCTCTCCCCTGCGTGGCTGGTGGCTTTTGAGGTGAGCTTGCTGTCCTGGGTAGTGGTAAACCTTGTGATTTTTCTCTGTGATTTTCGCATGGGGGTTCAGGAGACTGCTCTTCAATCTTGTTTTGGTGTGTCTGTCTTTGTTTGGTTGCTGATTCTGTATTGGTAGAGAGAGTCTGTGCCTGATCTGGATTTTGTTGGGAGCCTATTTCCAGCTGCTATTCTGACTTACTTAGGATTCTCAGCTCTCTGCTGTAGATTGCTGGCAATTCCCGCCTTTGGAAGGGTTGAGCAGCCTAGACTGCTTGTGTTTGCTCCTGCGGGTGCTCTTGGGGAAGATCAGATGCTCTGGATGCACTCTCCCAAATACTGGAGTCTGCTATGGGCTCCTGATGTGTTTTTGTTTGTTTGTTTGGGGCTGGTTGTGGGCTTGAACTCTAGGTTTGGGTGCTGTCCCTCAGCTCTTCAGCTCAAGGCTGGCACCCTACCATTTGAGCCACAGCCCCACTTCTGACCCTTTTTGCTTTGTTCAGGTGCTGGTCCCCGGGCCTGGTTCCGGCCCCAGCCTGGAGCGCGCTCGTTAGGCCTGTGCTAATGTGTATACCACCTAGGTTATGCAGCCTGGAGGACACAGTTCAAATTTCTTCTACTGTTGGTAGTCTTGACCCAGGGGCGCTGTTCCTGGCTTGGGCATTTAAGCTCCCTTCCAGGGGCACTCTTGCTCTGGCCTGGCCAGCAGAGTGTGCTCCACCGGCTGGTGGAGCTCTCGAACAGATCCCAGTTTTAGTGGGTCCTGTGGTCCGGGTGTTGGGGTAGGGAGTCTAGGTCAGGGTCTGGGGATTCCCTCCAGCTCTGGTCTCCCTTGATGGATTCACTGTCCCCTGTGGGGTACTCACCCTGTAGGTCGTCAGTTGTTGTTGCAGTCCGAGTTCAGTTGGGGTGGTAGCGGGCTGGGTTGGGTGGCCCCCGCCGAGTCGTTGCGATCGCGATTGGGCGGGTGGTCTGCGGACAGGTCCCTTTGTCGCGCTGCTGTTGCCGGGCGGCTTTGGCGGGATGGAGCCTCTCCGCTCCGGTGGAGAGTGAGGGGTGGGGGTGGGATCCTCGTGGAGACTCCCGGCTGGTGGGTTTCTCTGTTCCTGGCGATCCGCTGTTCTGCCATCCGGTACCTGGTGATCTGCAAGCAGCCCCCTGTGTCTCTGTGGCTCCGGCAGCCCCCGCCGGGCCGGCTGGCCAGCGGCTTGACACACTGCCGCGCGGCCAGTAAAGGTTGGGGGAGGGGTCTTCGCTCTTCTCTGTTCTGAATTTCTTTTCCTCTCTTTCTTTTTTTGTTATTTTCCACCTCTGGTTTTTCTCTGAGTGTTCGTCTTTTTGTTGTTGTCGGTCTCTAGGGGAGATTAAGCGTTGGAACTCGAACTCTTTTTGGGTGGAGAGAGCTGTGGCGTTTCCCTACTGCCCCGTCGCCATCTTGGTCCGGAAGTGTCCCCATATGGCTTTTAAAAAAACAACAGAAAACACTGAGGGCTGGGGACACATGCAGGGCCTTTAGTTCAAACTTGAGCAACCACAACAACCAAAAAATAAAAGAAGAGAAGGAATGGGGAGGAAAACACCTTCAGGCAATTGGCATTTTGGCTATATGTTAAATTTATTTCTTTGAAAAATTGGGAGACAGGCAGTGGAACAGTCAGAAATTTGGAAATATTTAGAATGGTTCTAGGTTTTATTTTTTAGGATATCCAAGAAAAATGAAAGCATATGTCTACACAAAGCCAAAATTAAGAAACAACAAAAATGTATGTTTTGATAGCATGTGGATAAGCATTTATAGTAGAATACCTGCAATAAAAGGGAATCGACTGGCCAGGCGCCGGTGGCTCACGCCTGTAATCCTAGCTACTCAGGAGGCTGAGATCTGAGGATTGCCGTTCAAAACCAGCCTGGTCAGGAAACCCCGTGAGACTCTGATCTCCAATAAACCACTAGAAAACCGGAAGAGTGGCGCTGTGGCTCAAGCGGCAGAGCACTCGCCTTGAGCTGAAGAGCCCAGGGACAGCGCCCAGGCCCAGAGTTCAAGTCCCACAACCGACCAAAAAAAAGGGGGTGGGGAGTCAACTGTGTATATATAGCCCAAATAGGTCTCAGCACTGTGCTAAGTGCAAGGTAAGTGCTGTCTGGCTCTGTCTATAGAGCACTTGACAGCACCTGCGGGTCTGTGGGGACAGAACGGAGGTTGCTCCGTTCCGTGGACTGGAGTGAGGAAGGTGAGGAGCAGGAAGACATTGGGGGCGAGCATGTGGACCCCAGTGGGTGTCCAGCAGCACGCGCATACTAAGGCATTCGTCAGACTGCACTTGCTGCACAAGTTCTCTCTCAGTCATATCTTGGTAGAGCTGAGGCAGGAGTTGGCCGGTTGGACTGCCTGCAAGACCTCATCAGATAGAGGTGCCGAGGCGCAGAGGTGGCTGCGTGGTGGACACTCATCTGAGTGTCCCTGGGGTTGAAGTCAGGACCTGGAGCGGGCTAGACAGGCAGCTCTGCACCCTGCTTTGACTGTCTGTCTGAACAAGGTGTCTCTTGCTGACTTCCATCTGGTCTGTCATCTTCCTGATTTTATTTTTTTGGCATGTTATGTTTTTACTTTTAATGAACATAGATTAGTTCAAGGGGGTTTGGATGTAATATTTCCACCCCTGCATACAGTGCATTCTGACCAAATTTACCTCTTCCATGCTCCCTCATCTTTCTTTCCCTCTCTTAAAACAACAAGCACAAAACCCTTACCAAAAAGTAACTAAAGGGGCTGGGAAGGTGGCTAGTGGTAGAGTGCTTGCCTCGCATGCATGAGGCCCTGGGTTCGATTCCTCAGCACCACATTAACAGAAAAGGCTGGAAGTGGTGCTGTGGCTCAAGTGGTAGAGCACTAGCCTTGAGCTGAAGAGCTGAGGGACAGCGCCCAGGCCCAGAGTTCAGACCCCACGACCAACCAGAAAAAAAACAAAGAGGACTGGGACTGTGGCTTCTGTGGCACAGCAGCTGCTCAGCAAGCAGAAGACCTGTGTTCACAGCCCAGCACCACCGGAAGATATGTGTGGGCGAACATCGTGGGAGTGTCTGCCAGAGCTAGGGACGTTGAGGGACAACTCACCTAGCAACGTGCACATGTTCTCAGGTGAATAGAACTAGACGCCACTGTTTCTGGTCACTTGAAATGTTAGTTACTGGTCATGGGAGAATGTGTTAACTTTAAAATAGGCATTTAGACTTCCAATTTAAATGCACCTGGTTATCCCAGTGTGCATTGTGTCTTCAGTCTTAACAGTAAGTTTGTTCATCTGTGGATTGACTCTCTCTGTTCCTTTCCGTTTGTTGAAGGAACTCGCTCTCCGCAGCCAGTTACCCACGATGGAGCAGGACGGCGGCACGCAGAACCCCGCGTCTTCCCCCGGGATGACTCAGGAATTGAGGACCATGACCGCCAACAGCTCAGACCCCTTTCTTAACAGGTGGGTGGAAGGTTTGCAGGGATGGCTGCTTGGTCTCCGAGAGCAAGCAGAGCTTTGCGGTCGCACCGTCCAGTGCGTGTGGAGGTGTGGAGGACACGTGTGCGGGACCAAGTGCCATCACCACACGCGACTTTCCCTGGACAAGGTTCCTGCGAGCACAGGCAGCCTGCTCAGACTTGCGCACAAATTGTTTTTCTCTGCCTGTCCTGTTGTCTTAATAGTTGCTCAGAATTACAGAATCCTGATGGAACATGGTGAATCCTTTCTGTGAACTCAATGAATCTGCATAGAATTACCGTTTTACAAAATAAGTAGATAATTGAAGAGTGCTGCGCTGTGAGATTTGCGCTCTCTCACTCTGGCAGGTGTTCAAGGAGATGCCTCTTTAAAAAAGTGTACGAAGGTTTATGGCAGTATTTGTCAGTAATAGCTGGTGGGTGCCTCTTAGTGAATTAACGCAATCCTTGGGTTTGGGGCGATCACGTGACATCAGGCTGTGGAGTTCTTGTCCGCAGTGACGCGTCCGCCTGTGGCCTTTCCCCTGTCCCCAGAAGGAATTTGGGTTCTCTATTTGGGGCTGGGTTTGGGTTCTGCCCAGAGCGGAAACATCGGTCCAGCACGGGCCTGTCTGCATGTCCACATGGAATTTGGGCGCTGACTGGTGCCGGGGAGAGCTGGGAACAGAAGCCATGGCATCTGCTCCACCCTCCATTCAACATTGCAGCCAGAAAACCAGCTGAGTCTGTCTGTCTGTCTGTCTGTCTGTCTCCCTGTCTCCCTCTCTCCTGTCTCCTGTCTCCCTCTCCCACCACACACAGTGCCTTCGGACAGATCTGTCTTGGTCTCGCAGCGGCGTGGGGGCCTGCATCAAGCACGGCGGGGCCAGGCTCCCACTGATCTCTGAGATTCGAGTTGACTTTTGCCTGGAGCTGATGGTATTGTGTGTGTTTGCAGCGGCACCTATCACTCCCGAGACGAAAGCACAGACAGTGGACTCAGCATGAGCAGCTACAGCGTCCCCCGGACCCCTGACGACTTCCTGAACAGTGTGGACGAGATGGACACAGGTCAGTGAGCTTCCTTCCTCCCACATGCGCGACTCTCAGCCAGACGGCCAGGGCCAGCAGGCCTGATAAGCACTATGAGCAAAATAATGACATCCAATCAACTCCAGTTCCACTGAGCCTCCCTCCCTCCCGCCCTCCCTCTGTCAAGCTCCTCCTGCTTCTCCTTCCTGAGCTCTGGGGCTGCCAGTGTCTGTGTGTCCCTGTGACTGGCTTTGGGATTATCTTTGTTGTGCACAGTTGAAGCCGAGCTGCTCAGGAGTCGCCCTCCCCTGCACGGTGGCCGCTGCTCTGCCCGTGACAGCCGCTCTTCCTGGAGTGCTTGGGAAGCCCGCGCCTGTCCAGCTCGCAGCCGGCCGTTCCCCAGGGTCCACACAGCCTCGGCCGGCTAGGTTTTCAGTAACAGCCCCACCAAGCTGCGCGCTGGCTGGACGCAGACGCAGAGCGCAGGGAAGCCTGGCTCTGCGCGCTGCTGGGTGGCTGTGGACATCAGGGCTGCGCAGACAGGGCTTCTCTTCAGCTGTTCCTTCCTGTGAGCGCGAGCAGCTGCTCTGATGTCCCCTCGCACGGAGCTCTCCGCTTACCCCTCTCCCCTCTTCTCTGACCAGGCGACACGATCACCCAGAGCGGCCTGCCCTCACAGCCCAGCCGCTTCCCTGACTACCTGGAGGGCCTCCCCGGCACGCACGTGGACCTGGGGACGCTGGAGGGCGACGGGATGAGTGTGGAGGGCGAGGAGCTGATGCCCAGCCTGCAGGAGGCCCTGAGCTCCGACATCCTCAACGACATGGAGTCCGTGCTGGCCGCCACCAAGCTAGACAAAGAAAGCTTCCTCACGTGGTTGTAGAGCGCGCGGGCCGTGGCCGGTCTGTGAAGGAGACGAGGCCCCGCGACGTCCGCGTGCGCCGCCTGCTACTTCCCCGCTCGTCCCCAGCTGGGAGCAGAGCTGCCGGCCTCCCCGAAGGATCAAGGAAACCCCACAAACAACCTTCTTGTTTCTTTTGCTACTGTACCTACTGTTGGTGTGGCCGCCTGCGTGCCCGCCGCTGCCGCTCCTCTGCCAGTCGGCTGCCCCATGGCTGTCCTTGCGGTCCGTCGGAAGCTGTGTGTTCAGTGGCCGGCCCAGCGGAGTGCACGGCTGCCCGCAGCCAGCGCGGGGCCTCCGTGGCCAAGCCCTTCACACGCATCCAGGAGAGGCTGGGCCGGCCGGCCAGGCTCCCACCTCCACCATCTACTCTGGTGTTGCATGAGTCTCGCAGAGACCCCGGTTTTACCGTAGCAGCAGTTCCCGTACAGGGTGGTAATGACTGCCGCACTCTCTAGCAGAGGTCTGGGTGGATTTTTTGGGGGGGGGTGTTAGAATTGTTTCATTGTCATGGATGGCTGGTTTTTTGTCAGAACCTACACAGATGACTAGTGATTCTGTTTATAGTTGTAGCTTATGATGGTTATTGTAGTTCTTTTGGTAAAAAGAAACACCTATATTTCTTGATTTTTTTTTTTTTTTTTTTTACCATTTTATTTAAATCTGAATTGTCTGCTCTCTAGACACACACCATGTTTATAACAGTGCCATAGCAGAATGTGTCTTGTCTCATTTTTTTAAAATCTTTGTTAGGTTTGCCTACTTTCCAAGTTACTTTTTAAAGTGAGTTGAGTCTGTATGTAGACCCCATGGCAGTGGTGAGGTCTGTGTGAGGCCTGCTCGGTGCCTGGAGGTGTCTAAATAAATGCATCCAGGAGTGGCCAGAAGCCAACCAGAACAGCCCCCACCCCACCCCGCCATCCCCGCTCTGGCCTAGTGAGTGATGCGGGACGGGTGAGCTGGGCAGCGGCTTCCCTCCAGCTCTGGAAGTTCACCTTTGCCTCAGATTCAGAAGTAAATTTTAATGTTTGGTTCTCAGTTTTGAATGGACGCATTGGAGCCTGGGTTGAAGTGTTGCTGAGTCTGCGAGATGCTCCCATCTGCTGAGACCCGGCCTCGGGCCCTGTGCAGAGCCAGTGGCGCTCAGCTGCGAACTGGTCAGGTTAATCCATGTATGTTGGTAGTTGAATTTAGCAAAGAAGTAGATCTAAGCATGCCTGTGTCTTTGTATTTACGGAAAGAGCTGTAACTAGAGTATATGTCTACAGGAATAGCAATGGTTTCCAAAGAATATTTTTAAAGGAAGTAAGTGAGCATGAATTAACTCTTCAATATAAGCTATGAGGTCATAGTTGGTTATGAATTGTAACAGCACCAGCCTCTGTGATTTTAAGGGTCTTTGCTTCTGGTAGAAGCCCTTATTTTCAAGGGTTTTTAACAGACAAAAATCTTTTCCTGGATAAAGCTGGCAAAAGCCTCAGCTTTTAGGAAGGTAGATTTTCTTTTCCTTTTTTTTTTTTTTAATTACAAAAATCGTAAGTATTTTGGCCCTTTGCTTTGGAAGGTGGAAGCAATTTTAAGTACTTAGAGTGTTCAGAAGCTGCAAGCCCTGTATTATATATAATGATCAGTAGGTTGATCTTTCATAGTAATTGACTCTTAAGGATTTTATTAAAAAGTAGCCAAAAGATTCAATGCTGAATGAAGTCTGGGGGGCAGGAATGGGCCTATGCAGAGGCACTGGGTTTAGAACAGTGATGAACTTCTACCTGCAGCACAGAATGGAGAATGTGGGGAGGTGGGGGCTGCGTCTACCAGTAAGCCCAGCTTGGACGGCGTCTTCTCTATGGGCAGAGCAGCTTTAGCGGAGGGGTGGGGGTGGGAGTGGGCTCTGGAGAGAGTGTGGGACAGGATAGACCTGGATGGACGGCGTTCTCTTCAGCACAGACGTACCTTGCCTCCTGCTGTCGCTCAAGGCAGTAGGCGCTCTAAAACTTCCGTCTCTCCCATGGACCCAGGGCCACGTGTGCAGCCTTCTCCCCTCGCGCCCCGGCGTGGTTTTACCTCAGCGTTCCGCAGCCCGGCTTCCCGGTCCGCAGCTGCCCTCACCCTGCTTTCTTTCTCCCAGTAACAGCCTGCAAGCAGGCTTCTTTGTGGGCCTTGGTTCCTGACCTAGAAGGGGTAGCGCCTCTCGCTTGTGTTGGGTAGCATGGAGTAAGAATTTAACTGGTTATTCTTGAATTTCTTTTGCAATAAACCAATTTTATAATCTTTAAATTAATCAGCTTTTTACAGTTGTGTTCTTTTAAAGTCACGGCTTCTTAGCAAACTCATGAGTGAAGGAGCACATTGATTTGGGAATTCCATGTTGACCAGAGCACTATTTTTGTAGTAACCATTTTCTAAATATAGTGCATTAAAAAAAAAAAAAAGCAAAGAAAGCGAAGAAAGCAAGGCAGTGGCTTTGATACACATGGTGTTGGTGTTTCCAATCCTCCAGTAGGTGCGTTGTGTGTGGAACGTGCCAGGAAGACAGGAAATGAGATGTGGCCTTCTGATTGCATGCAGGGCAGAGCTGGGTGGAGCAGTAGGGAGTGGGCGGAGCCCTCCCACAGCCTGTCTGTCTGCGGGAAGAGCTCAGATGAATTCTGTCTTTGTAGGCGTGGTTTTATAAGAACTGTGTGGGTATGTCTATCTTAACAGTTATTTTCTGTATCTTGAAAAAAAGTATTCTCCACATTTTAAATGTTTTATATTAGAGATGTCTTTAATACACACTTGTCAAATATATTTTATATATATATATATTAGTACCGATGTTACCTTTTTTGTTGTAGATGTTAAGCGCATGCTCATACTAGGTACTTAACATGAATTTGTTACATTATTTTTCTTTATGTAATACCTTTTTGTTTGTTTTTTGTGATTCAAATATATTCTTTCCTTAAACCCTTCTCCTTGTTTTCAACAGTTGGTAAGATTATTTTTTGGGTTTTTTGGTGAACTTTTCCTGCAGAACAAGAGCTAGTTGTGAAGGCGGTAGAGTGGTAGTGGGCAGGCAGTGAGGAGCTGCTGTTTCCTCCAGTCACACGTGGGACTTGGAACTTGAAAGTGTAAAAGCTCCTGACATCGAGCTTTGGTCTTGACCTACCGCATCCTCATGGTAGAACATGTCTTCTTCATTCTTTAAGGACACAGTGGGAACTGAGACCAATGTGACACTGTCTTTCAAATGACCTTTGGTTTTATTTCTTTAAAGGACATTCACACTAGTGCATGGCAGGACAGCCAGGAGCCAGCAGCTCACACCTGCGGTCCTCGCTCCTGAGGAGGCTGAGATCTGAGGATCACAGCTTAAAGCCAGCCCAGGCAGAAAAGTCCGTGAGACTCTTCCCTCCAATTAACCCCCCAAAAACCCACAAGTGGGCCTTTCAGCTCCAGTGCCAGCCTTGAGCAGAAACAGCTCACACACCATGTCCAAACCCTGAGTTCAAGCCCCAGGACCAGCACGGGGGTGGGGCAGGCTGCCTTGCATGTTGGCTGAGAGGTAGGCCTGTTTTTGGAAATGGGTGATAGCCTCAGCTGCTGATGCATGCATTCAGGAGGCAAATCCAAAAGCTTGACTCCGCTGTAGATGACGTCCAGAACGCTGGCTTTGCGGAGCCTTATCCGGTGTGTAAAGCGTAGTGGCCATGGGTCCTGGGTGAGGAATCCTGAGATTCATTCCCCGGAGCCAGAGGAAGGGGCTCACCTGACTCGTCTAACGTGCCTGCTGTGAGCGCTGCTTCTTGGCAAGGTGGATGACCATCACTGGTGCTGACAGGAAGCCTGGGTGACGGCGCTGTGTTCTCAGGGCTGTTGGTAAGCTGGTGGTTGGTGAGCTGGTGGGTGACGGCACTGTGTTCTCAGGGCTGTTGGTAAGCTGGTGGTTGTGTTTGATCCTTTTGATTTCTGTTTTTTGAGCCCCTCCTTGTCCCAGCTGCAGTGGGCTGTTCCCATTGGCTCCAGGGTCTTTTGTCCACTCCACAGTGGCCAGGTGGGTGCCACCATACCGCTGCATCCCACCGCCAGCTGTTGGTGTGCTGTGTTCAGGGCTGCGGTGATCTGCTGTCTCTCCTCTTTAGTCTCTGAACTGAGGGTCTGCTCAAGAGGATCACCTGAGCCCAGGCAACAGAGCAAGACCCTGTCTTCAAAACACGGAAAAGCCAAGCAGTGGTGGCTCATGTCTATAAACCTAGCCACTCAGGAGGCTGAGATCTGGAGGCTGACAGCTCAAGCCCAGCCAATCAGGAGGCTGAAGTAGGAAGATCCTTCCAGCTCAGGAGTTTAGGGCCAAGCCTAGGCAATGCAATTAGCATCCCCAAAAGACACAACTTGGGCAGGGCTTTGTTCTGAGTAGGAGTAGCCTCTTGCAGCTCTTAACGTGCTTTTGAGAGTTGTGTGTCACACCTTTATCCACATTATCTGCGCCATGGCCTTTGGAGAATCTACTACATAATTGCCTGGCACCTATGGCTCAAGCCTACAATCCTAGCTACTCTGGAAGCTGAGATAAAAGAATCAATGTTCAAAGCCAGCCCCAGGCAGGAAAGTCCCTGAGACTCTTTATCTGCAATTATAGAACAAGCTGGAAGTGATGGTATGGCTCAAGTGGTAGAGTGTTAGCCTCGAGCAAAATGAAGCTCAGAACTGGCACCCAGACCTTGAGTTTAAGTCCTGGGACCAACAAAATGAGTTCTGTGTGTGTGTGTGTGTGTGTGTGTGTGTGTGTGTGTGTGTGTGTGTGTGTGTGTGTGTGTACATACATGCACACGCATGCACACCATACTGAAAGCCCCATGCACCAAGTCCCTGGTGTCCTTCCCTGGGTCTGGCCAGCGCTGCATGTGGAGACAGTGCTGCTTGAGGATGCAGTCCTTTGGACACATCACATGTCTCTTCTGTTCTAGGCTAAAGGAATTTCTGTGGGATTCTATGCCCAAAAGAAGGAAGCACGCTTGTTCACCACGGCGGGCGCACACCAGCTCGCTCTGAGCGCCCCTGTGTGGGACGCCTTGGTGGGCCTCAGCGGCCGGCGCTGACCAGAACAGGGGTCATGTGAGTGAAATGTAACACAAGCTTAAGGCAAAAGAAAAAGAACTCCAAACTCCCAGCAGTCTTCCAAAATCACCAAAATGGCTCAGGCCTGAGCATTTGCAGGAGCCGTTTGCTCTTTCCTGTTAAATGCGGCAGATCTAGAGAGGCGTCCCTCGGCATTGGTTACCTGCCCTCTACCCCCTGCCCCCAGTGGGCTGGACTTCGCACTCCAGCATAGAGTGCCACAAGGCACTGCTCCAGGACCAAGGGACATTTTTAGGTTCCCTGATGGGCCATGACTCTTCCATCCCATTTTTTGAAGCCCTGTGCACTCTGGTCAGAGAGGCGGGGCCTTTTGTGATTGATAGGTCAGATCCTGGGTCGGGGGAGGTGCTTTTGACTAACACAACAGATGGGATCGTGTAGTAGCCAAAGAAAGTGCAAAAGGCAGGAAAATAAATACAATATTTGAGGAGAAGCAAGAATTTGGGTTTGGTGAGCCATAAATACATAGCAACCTAACAATTTAGTTATATGTGTGCGTATGTGTCAGTACGGGGGCTTGAACTCAGGGCCTGGGTAGTCTCCCTGAGCTGCTGTTTTGCTTGGTGCTACCACTTTAGCCACAGCTCCACTAATGGCCTTTTGGTAGCTTATTTGTGGTAAGAGGTCTCACATGGGGCTTGGAAGGTGGCTCAGTGGTAGAGTGCTTGCCTAGCATGCATGAAGCCCTGGGTTCGATTCCTCAGTATCATATAAACAGAAAAAGCCGGAAGTGGCACTGTGGTTCAAGTGGTAGAGTGCTAATCTTGAGCAAAAGAAGCTCAGGGACAGTGCCCAGGCCTGAGTTCAACCCCCAGGACTGGCCAAAAAAAAGTCGACTTCCTTGCCTTGGTTGGCTTCGAACCATGATCCACAAATCTCAGCTTCCTGTATAGCTAAGATTACAAGCATGAGCCACGGATGCCCGGCCTGTCTTGAACCAAGTTTTTTAGTCCACTTTGTTTTTATCAAAATGCTCGGCTGTCTTGTGACATCGCTTTCCTTTTTGAAGAATGGGTCTGCAGATGTCGCCTCCACTCCCAGGCAGCAGCCCTCACCAGCCGGGGGGGGGGGGGGGGGTCGCGGGGCGCCCGGGCTCTGTGGGGCTCGCTTTTCTTCCTGGGATGCAGGAAGGCATCTTCCTAAGTGGTCTGTGCCTCCTTCTGGTCCCAGTTTGCTGAGTCCTGCCTCTGCCGGTCCGAGAGTTTCATCGTTGCATAGAACACGCACAGCATAGTGGCTCTGCCCGGTGTCTGCTGCCATGGGTGAAATCAGCGGGCATGTCACTTGGGACATCTTCCCACCCCCCCATGCTGACCTGTAGAAACTGGCTGGCGTTCCTTCCTCTTTGCAGTGTTTTTCCACACAGCCGAGACAAGATGGAGCAGTTCACCTCCTGAGAATTCTC